AGAAAGAAAGAAAGAAAGAAAGAAAGAAAGAAAGAAAGAAAGAAAGAGTATTACGTGGTCAGATACAGCCCAGCAATGTTGTGGTAATTTTTTAAACCGGCCTCTGGCTCAGACCAACTATCTAAGCTGCAGTGGCTCTGCCTATCCCACCATGTTTCTCAGCCAGAGGCCATGTGCATGTTGCAGCTAGAAATGGCCAACTAGAAACACCAGCCCTGCCACCCATGAGACGTCAGTGTGGGAGATAGCTCAATCTCCCATGCTGTCTCTGCAAGGCTGGGCATTGCCTAGACCATCCCGCCATCCACGTGGACCCAGTAGAAAGATGAGACTCTAATGCTTAAAGATTAATCAAAGACTTATATATTTGGTAATGATCAGTAACAAGATACCCATACAATCAGAAGTGTAACCCAATACCCAACCTAGATATACCAACTACCTTTGACTGCTACACACACGTGAACATCCACCTCCATCTCTCCTCTCTCTCTCTCTCTTTCTCTCTCTCTCTCATTCTCCTCTTTCATCTCCTAACTCCTCCTCTTCCTTTTTCCTCCTCTCCTCATTACTCCTCCTCTTCCTCTTCTTCTCCTAACTCCTACCATCTTAGCTCCTCCTATACAGCAATGCCACACTCTTGGTACCAATTTATGTAATAGTTAAGTTTGGAAGTAAGGGTGTATTTGGGATAGTTGTCCTAACCAAACCACAGTCTATAACAGAGAAAAGTCACAGCCTATCACATACAAAGGAAAGTTAAGGCAAGAACTGACATATTATGGAGGAATGCCTCTTATTGACCTGCTCCCTATGATTGCTCATCTTGCTTACTCATACAGCCCAGGACTAAGTGCCAGGGTGCTGTTGCCTGCAATGTGCTGGGCCTTCCTACATCAATAATGAATATAGAAAATGTCCTAGAGAATTATCTACAAGCCAGTGTGATGGGACACTTCCTCAGCTGCAGTTTCTTCTTCCCAGAGGACCCTAGCTTGTTTCTAGTTAATAAAACAAAAACAAAAACAAAACAGAAACAAAAATGAAATCAAAATCAAACAAAAGAAAACCAAACAACAACAAAAAAACCAAGCACATAACAAAATCAATATTAATTAAGTATTGAAAAGTAATTATGTTTACTCGTGATGCAACTTAAAAACCTAAGTTATTATGTTCCTGAGGGGTATACAGTAAGTCAATATTAAATTATTGTATGTCTTCACCAACATCAAGTGAAACATCTTCCTTCTTTCCTCCTTCCTTCCTTCCTTCCTTCCTTCCTTCCTTCCTTCCTTCCTTCCTTTCTTTCCTTCCTTCTTTCTTCCACATGAGTTAAGATGTATGACAGTCGTTTGGGACTATTGGATGCACTAGCTCCCCATGTACTACTGTGCTTTACAGTTGTTTAGGTGACAGGATCCTGTTTTCTTCTTTGGGGAATCTCAAGTTTCTAAGCACCCTTACATTTAATAGCCAGAGGACTCTAGAAATGTTTCCTACACATTTATAATTAAATCAACTTTGTCTGAATTCATTTGTGTGAAAAACAAGCACTTGCTGGGTCGAAAAAAAAGAAAGCTTAAGATTGTTTATGCCTCCGTTCAATTACATATTTCTTTGTATTTTAATGTTTACTGTCTACGTGACATTGATTACTCATAGTCAGATATGCTTTTGCTAAAATGTAAATACAGATTTGAAACGCAGCTTTGATAAGCAAATATCTTATTTTGAAAGTCCTCTATAATGTTAACAGGTATATATCAGGTACAGAGATGATTAGGATTAGTTTTTTAGCTGTATGGTCTTTAGCCACAAAAAAAGATCTCAACCATTCTGAAGAAACCCACAGTAATGTTCTTAGTTCTGAGAAATTAATCAGCTTTCTTCAATGACACAGGTAATTTTTCATGTTTTTTTTTTGGTTTGTTTGTTCTTTCTACATGTTTGTTTGTTTTAAAATTTGGTTGGTCTCAAACTCAGTACTGAAAATGACCTTAAACTGCTGATCCTCCTACCTCAGCTGTGCCAGTGGTGGGATTACAAGAATGGATCACCACATCTGTTTTTTGTTGTTATTGTTGTTAGTTTGTCTTTGTTTTCTGTTTGTTTTGTTTTGATTTGGTTTGATTTTTTTTTTTGTAGTTTTTGCTTTTGTTTTTATTTATGGTAGAAAATCCAAACCAGGGCCTTCTACACATTATGTATGCTGACCTATGTCCCTAGTCTTTTATAACATCTTGTGAAATGCTGACATTTCTGGGCATGTGGTATTTTCCCCACATTTGGATTCAGAGTCCTGGAAGAAAGCATAGATATGTGATTAAATGGGATTTTATATGCTCAGTATCCTTCATTATCAAGATTGGTCAATGTCCTTTGCCTTTGTGGTCACAGCACCCTGTACATCTTCAGGGTGGCATGCATAATAGCTTTGACCTCTCCTTGCCTCTTATTGTGTGCTGTTGGATAACTGTCAGCATGGGATTGAACAACATTGGTATCTCTGTTTCAGCCACCTTTTATAGAAAAATACTTTTCAACTATGCCATCTTCATGATATAATTTCCAACATAGTCCTAGATACAGTTTCTTTTTGCTATATATTGATGACATTTCGGTTGAGAAGTCTAATGCTGCAAACAATATTACACCATATGTGCACCAACTCAGAGGAAAATGACTAACGCCTTGGTTTACTTGCAGCAGCGAATCACCATTGAGCCGGGCACATCTTATAGGCTTCAAGGGCTGAAACCAAACAGCCTGTACTACTTCCGTCTGTCTGCACGCTCTCCTCAAGGCCTGGGTGCTTCTACAGCTGAAATATCAGCTAGAACCATGCAATCAAGTAGGTGTCTCTCTTTGCTACCTTGTTGCCCATTTCTCTCTAGGAAATGTTTCTGACAATTATATTTATGTTTTGTTTGTTTTGTTTTAAACTAAAGACAAACCTGCTAGTGTGCTGAGTCTTCAGCAGCTATCTCTGTGGAAAAAAAATTCTCCTCTGGATACAGGACACAGATAGGACCTATGTTGATTTCAAACATGGTGCAAATAACAGACCCTCCATCCTATTTCCTAAATACAAAATTTCAGAAAAGCTAATTGACCTCCATAACTAGGAAATGGGTGCAATAGTTAGATCTGTCCTCATTCAGTAAATGATGTGGGCGCATGGCAAAATTCAGGTAGAAAACACTGCCACTGCAGATAAATCAGCCCAGAGCACATCCAGAGTATGAAGTGGCAAAAAGCAAAAACAATTTCCTTTTAAAAACAAGCGATTATTATGTATTTGTTCCTACTTGGGAGGAATGCTCAGTGCAAATGACTGGTTTCTTACTCCGTGAGTGCCCATGTAGACATTGGGAATACTCACAGAAAATCTCAATTTAGATAAATCTGAGAATAATGGAATAATTCTAGGCACATCTGCACCCTGAATGCTATTTTGCTTCCTTGACTTTACTCCTGTGAGCTTGCATGCCTCAGCGTGGCAAAGTTTGTTATAATGGGGCTTAGCCATGCTTGGAACATATTGTTTTCTATAAATATTATTGAAAAAATTGTTTGTGATGGAAAGTGTGATGGTTTATAATGCCATCATTCACTCTTTAATAAGTATTGACAATTACCCATCCACTTAATTTATCTAGAACAGTTTTACAGCTATTGTGTGGGATGTGTGTGTAGTATTTAAATTGTATTTCCTGACATTGTGATGTATCAGTAATTTGATGGGAAATAATTACTCAGAAGATGGCTGTCTTATGTTAGAATGGACAGTAAATGTGTGTGTTTTAGCTCTTATGTAAATCTACTTTAGATGAATTATTGCATCTAAAAAAATTGAATGTAAATCATATAAATATATAAATAATATAAATCATGATTCTTTGGGGGGTTAACTAGGTATTTTTAATTGCTGTGTTATTGACCTTTTGTAAGGGATAGCTGATTATTACCAGTTTTACCAAAATTTGCTGGTGGGATCTAATTCTTTACTAGCAATGGTGTCACAAGAAGAGTTATAATAAAAAAGCTGAAAGCTGACATAGGGTAAGTACAGTCAGAACCAACAAGCCTGACCTTGCCCTCGGTAGGTAAATCTCAGCCTGTGCATTCTCATTCCTTAATGATTCTGCATGCTCATTTTATTTGGGCTACAATGTTAGATTAACACTTTTCATTAAAACTGGTCAGGCTGACTTAGGTTTTTTCAGATAGGGTAAGCCCTTCTATGTTCATTGGGTTTTATTTTGTTTTATTTTCATTTTTTGTTTTTCTTCATTGACGTCAGTAGGAGGGCATCTATGCAGTTACTGTTTCTTTGTTCACTTAAACATCCATCCACAAATGAGTGCTGTGGATGGATTTTCTTTATTCCAGAATGTGGATAGGAGAACATAGAATAGATTGTATGGAAATAGCATTTCTAGAATCTCAGGTTCACATAAATAGAATTATTTGAGGTTTGGGGGTCCTAAATAGTTAGTTTACTAGGGATGGGAGATACCAAGGAATTGGTTTAGAAGAAGAATTTAAATTGCAGGTAGGTGATTTTATTTGAGGCTCTCTTATCACATGGCTTCATTTCCATACATCTCCCCCATTCATTACTTAACAGTTATTTTGACCATTGATTCATATTTTTGTTTACTCATGTTACTAAGCCAAGGTTCATACATTTATGTTAAAAATTTTAAGTTTCAAAGTATTATTTCTGTTTTTTTCTGCCCTTATTGTTCGTTTATTTATTTTTGCCTTTTCTTTTGTTTTATCATTTTTTCCAACCACTCCTGTCCTTTCACTCAAATCCTCCTTTAACTCACTACCAAAATAAGAGCCATCAGCTCCTCCTCAAGATATTAGTTGCACCAGCCCAAGTTCCACTAGTATTTTGGTAAGTTGGCAACCTCCACCAGTGGAAAAACAGAATGGCATTATCACTGAATACTCCCTCAAGTATGCTGCAGTGGATGGGGAAGACTACAAGCCTCATGAGATTTTGGGAATTCCTTCGGATACTACCAAATACCTTTTGGAACAGCTGGAAAAATGGACTGAATACCGGATCACTGTGACTGCCCACACAGATGTCGGCCCTGGCCCTGAGAGCTTGTCCGTGTTGATTCGAACCGATGAAGATGGTATGTTGCCTCCGCTCCGTCTGTTCGCACCTTCTGACACAGTCTGGGTCTGCTTTTGATAGGCTAACAGTTATTCTTTTTTAATTTTTTCTGCTCATCATTTTTGATCCAACATTTTTATTCTGTAACTTTTTGCCAAAGACCTGTCTTTCCTACATCCTGGGCTTTTTTTTTTTTTCTTTTTTCTTGTTCGATGTCAATGCAACAATTTTCTACCTTTTTTAAAGGGACATTTTGCTCTTATGGTCCTATGATCCAGATTTTCTCTGTATCTCCAACTAATGTCGCCTGTGTTTTTCTTTGCATTTTTATTGAATTCTCTTTCATTGTGGAATTAACTTTCAAAACTACCACCTTCTTACTGTCTTTTGTCTTGTGATTTTTGGCACCTGTTGTATGGACCGGCCTCTTGATATGAGAAAAAAAGAGAGAGAGAAGAATCCATATAGTCAAGAATCTTTTTATTCTGCTATTAAGACAAAAACTTAAAAAAAATACCACGCAACTGTCAACAGTCTGTTTTTGTTATTATTTCAGTGCAGTACTTCTTTGTGCTTTAATGCTTTGGACCTCAAAGCATCTTCCTTGGCTTTGGTACATTTTTTTTTTTACATGTTTTTCTATTTCTCTGATACTCTTTTTTTTTCTTCCATTTTGGTTTTTGCATCGGTCATGTTTTTTGATCTTTTCTTACAATGTAGAGCAGATTGGTTGAGCATTTTCCTTAGTTGAAGATGTGTGTGTTCTTCAATGAAGCATAGTGGGTCTACCCATTTTTAAGTAAATAAAGCACTCTCGCTGGGTGGCGAGTGCCTATAATTGTCTTTTACCCATGATGTTGTTGCAGTTCCAAGTGGTCCTCCTCGCAAAGTCGAGGTGGAGGCTGTCAACGCCACAGCTGTTAAAGTCTCGTGGCGCTCACCTGTGCCCAATAAACAGCATGGCCAGATAAGAGGATATCAGGTGCACTACGTGAAAATGGAAAATGGCGAGCCCAAGGGCCAGCCCATGCTGAAGGATGTCATGCTGGCTGACGCACAGGTGAGCCTGTTCTATTGGCTAACATTGCTTCTAGTCTGTGCCGAGAATTAACTCTTTTGCACTTTAAAAACAATTTTACACAAAATGCTAGACTTTAAAACCCACTGCTATGTATTTACCTTTTAAATTAAAAGTAACGTCAACTAAAATTAAACTGAAATAAAATGCTTTTAAGTTTAATTAAAAGTCATTTTTTAAAAAAATAGATATTATGCTCTCTATGTCTGAGTCTAAATTGACATTCCTCACTTCAAAAAATAATGATGAGCCTACCCAAATCAAAATAAAGTATTCCAAGCTACACTTGTGTTGATAAAATCTATCTTCTGCTGTGTTTAAATTACTTGGACCAAGGTTGATCTAATTTCTTAATGTCTGACATTTTTCTTAGAGAACAGACATTTTTATTCATGGGAAGGAACTCAGTATTTTATTTTATTTTGTTTTATTTTATTTTATTTTACCTTTCACCAGTTCGTATATATTTTATAGGGATAATTGTTTTCTTTGCCAGAAGGTGAAGATAATAACTTCAAAGATAAAAATTAAATTAAGGTTTCCAGGAGAATAAATATGATCTCCTGTCCTGAACAGAGTTAAGAGAATTACTAGTGAGCTGGGGAAATGCCCAGTCCGTAAAGTGTTTCCAAAGAGAACATGAGTTTAATCCCCAATATCTACACATGAAAAAGCCAAGTGTGGTGTATACAATTGTAATCCTAGAGTTGGAAAGTGGAAATGGGTTGATGTTCTGGCCAGCCAATCTAGCCTCCTTGACAAGATCAAGGCTAGTCAGAAACCCTATCTCAAAATAAGGTGGACAGTGCTTAATAACAATACCATGTGGTCCTCTGGCCTTCACAATCACACAGGTGTGCATACATCCTCACTTATATATGTACCCATACAACCCTGTACATACTGTTGCACAGACAGCCTATACCAACAAAGGAGTTATTAATAATGAGTTATTGTGTGTTTGAGATGTTCTGTTGACCTCAGGAAAGTGGTTTACAACCATGGTTCCCTACCTGGTTTTGTAGTTAGTAATTTAAAGAAAGCATATAACATTTACATTTTCCCTGTAGGTTATAGGTGTTTTAAAGTAATCTCTCTAAATGAATATATAATTAATCTACTTGTACCTTATTGTTCTCCTGGGAAGAAGAGGAAAACTCCAGATTCTAACTGCACTGTTGGAAATGTCACATAGGGGCCTAGCTTTCCATTGCTCTTCTGACAGTGGTGGGATACAGTGGTTATAGGACATGTAGATACTTGATACTTTGCTTAAGTGCATGGTGGCTGGTCAGGAAAAAGGATGAAGTTTGTGAAATTTTAAAGTTTGAAATGAAAATATGTAGTGGGAAATATTAAAAAAATGCACCATCCCTTGCTAGTGGTGCTACTCTCTGGCTAGCCCTAAGCAGCAACCACCCATCTCTTGCTGCCATTCTGCTCACATTCCCAGCATCCACCCCCTGTGGTTAGCGGTCACAAATCTCAGTAACCAGGTAAAATCAAAACTCTAGAGGCTTATAATTTATAAATCAGATTTATATCAGTAAATTCTCATCCCACAAAACGTCCACACAATGAACTCAGAGCCAATTGATATTGATATAAATTGCCCACCTAGATAAGACAAATCATCCTGTAATTATCCATCCCTTATAAGATATTCATAGCTACCTGTGGCTAATTAAAGCCACTTAGAATCTGGGTCGTCTTTCTCTTCCTCCAATTTCCTTCCTTCTCCACTCTCTATCCTCTCTCATTTGTAAAATTCTTAGCCTGCCTTCCTTTTCCACTGCCCAATCACAGGCTCTCAGCTTATCTTGTGCCTGCCCTCACCTGCATATAAACAGCAGTCCACCAAACTGCCTTTTGTATGAGCATGAAAAGATCAGAAACTGAATGAAACTTCTACAGAAGTTTCCCAGCTTTATCTTCTTTTATCTCTGAAAATATGAGGCAATATGTACCCCTACAGTGCTAATGAAAGCATTTACCCTAAAATGTCTTTATGTTGTCAACTCACAAAAGTATGTGTTTGCTTCTACTTTGAATCATCCTAACTAAAAGCCCGAAGGGATCTAAATTTGTGGTGTATTCCTATGGCTCAAACCTCTTACTAGCTTGCAGGGATTTCTGAAAACAGCGGTTGTAATGCATCATACACCTTTGACAACTCTTTTCATTATTAATATGGATTTTATTCTAGTCTTGTTAAAAATATGTAGATAGTCTTTCAGTTAATATTTGAGAGAAATGTTGATTTTGTTTTAAGATAAATCAAGAAAATAAATTAATGTTTACTCAGCTAATCATTAATATATTTACTAAAGATATACAAAACAAAGAGAGACACAAGTCTTAACATTAGTGAATGTAATGACTATGTATTCTCATCAGAATAAAAGCAATGGTACTTTCTAAAAGAAGAATTTTAGGAATTGCTTAATAGTTTGCAAATATTTGATGTATCTGAAAATCTAGCCTCAAACATCCCTTAAAAATTATATCAATTATATTTCGATTTTTATGCATATACATTTAGTTCTTTTACTACTTAGTGACTTCTACCATTTGGGTAGTTGTCACAATTTCTGTTCTCAGAAACTTTACATTCTGACTATTGCCTAGGACTGTAATGAGTGTTGGAATGTGGGTTAAATTTATCAATTTTATCAATATTAATTATTAATATTTAACTCAGTGATACTGATTATATTGCAATTGACATGAGACATATTTTATCTAAAGTAAAATGTACTTTTTAAAAAATAAAAAAAAAAGGAAAAAATAGATAGGATGAAGAAAAAGGTAGATTTAGGCCTTCTTTTAAACTCTTCTATGCATAGATTTGCCTACAAGCACAGATTTTAATAAATATTATATAATACTGTACACACACACACACACACACACAAAAGCACACATTTTTAAACCTAGTTGTTTTAGTTCAGAGAACTACTGAATCAATTCCCGGTGAGTCTTTGAGTCTCATTAAGTCAGGACACAGTTGTTAGTGGAGCCAACTTTGCCTCAGACTCATTCCCCTTGGTGTTTTGGATGTCTTACAGTCCCCAAAACCCTTCATTCAAACTTCCAGAAAACTACATAGTCTGTGGAATAAAATGGATACATAGTAAGGAAATTTTAGAGAAACAGAATGAAAAGGAGCCTTTAAAGGTTCACAACAATAATCTTTAATTTCAAAAAGGGGATTTTAAAACTAAATCAATTTCAAACACTGGAGGACCATCCAAAGTCTACTTGATATTTTATACATTTTTTAATTGCACTGCTCTTAAAGTATTTCTATAATGTAATGACAATAAAGTCATTGTTGCTATTTTCAAAATCTCTAATTTGGGGAACAAAAGCATGATCATACTTTGATATGGATTTCTTTGGATTTAGTTCTTCTTTGGATTTCAGCTACTTTACATTATAAAACTGCATTTCTGCCTTTATGGTTATATAGCTAATAAAATTATGTTTTTCTGTCCTCTATTTTGACATCTGTCTATTAATTGTTGTTCTTCCTAGTTTTTCTCCTCTCCATTTCATTTGTGTTTCTTGACTCTTCATTGAAATTTAAGTACTTCTCACAAGTCTTCACTGAAACCTATGATTTAAGTATTTTTTAAAAGGTAGTAATTTAAATAGTTAAATTACTTATTTAATTATTTAAAATACTTAAATTAATTATAAAACACATGAAGGAAGTAGAAACTGCTGACATAAGTACTTCGAGGGCAGCAACATTAGATTTATCTTTGTGCCTTACTTGCTTTTTCAGTAAACCATATAGTTAGTTGATACACAAATGTGCAAGTTTGAACACATACTTACCTTAATCCTCTTAGAGGTCAGAATGTCTACATCATAATGCATCTATTCTTTAGAATGTTATTGTATATGTGGTTTTAATTACGGTATTTCTCTATTTTAAGTTAAAGGAGGCTAACATCATTTTTATAAGGGTACAAGTTTCTCTTCATTTCTTTTTATTTTGTCCCCTTCCCCAACTTTCTTAACCTCAATCAGTGGGAAATTGATGATACTACTGAACATGTGAGTAGATTCATACTGTTTGGCCGAACAATCAGACCTTATATGCTTGTGTTTCTTCAACATCAGCCTTTCACTTACTCATGATTTGATATCACATTTGCTTGGATATCACATTTGCATGAACTAATGGACTGTTTTTAATTGATCTTAACAATGTATGCACTTTTCAGATTGTTTCTAGTTTTGTGAGATGAGCATGGTGCTACTGGTTGTGTAGAAAAGGTCATGAGCTTATGGCATCTATTTTGGTTTCTGCTACTAACTCTGCCTTGTGACACAGTTAGAGGAAGCATGCTTTAAATGGAGTTGTCCCATAGGGGTCATGTCAGGTATTTGATGTAGGTTACTAATATTTTCTACAACAGGTTTGTATAGTCACTATATCACATAGTATAGATATGACACTAATTAAATCCATCCATGCCTGGCTAAATTTTGCCACAAATAGAAGAAAATGAATGGCAATAAGTGAGACATGTCACGAAGTAAAAAGAGTTTCCCAGATGGAAGGTGTTCTTTAATATATATGCATAGCTTTAGTTACTTGTAAAGGGCCTATTCCATGTAAGATTTTCATATGACAGGACATCTACCATCCATCTTAGTACTTACAGAAAATAGGAAGAAGACTAGAAATATTAAAAAGACTACAAATAAATAAAAAATATATGATTTTTCTTTTTATTATGTTTTAGTATCTCTCCAAGACAAAATAGTGAATATATATATATATATATATATATATATATATATATATA